AAAAAATGCTAAATTAAAAAATGCATAAGCCGAAAACATCTTATTTAAAATGGCAGAGTTCTTAAGAAAGTTTTAATTTCAAACATTAAGAAGAGCTTTGTATAACTATAAATTCAGAATTTATCAAGAAATTGTATTTTACATTTTGTTAAAGGACTCAAATCTGCAATTTCAAACACAAGTGTTTAGTGAAATCAAGCACCTTTCATTTCAGTACCATTTGAAAGGCTGCAAAATGTAAAACCTTAAAAAAATTAATGCTTACAAGTTGTTTAAATGGCACCCTCCTAAGACTGGCTGTTGACCTATTTTCCTTACAATAACATAATTGTGCATTATATGAGAATATTTTGTTAATGAAAAAATGCCTCATCAGTTCACAATTGGTCCTTATATAATAGTTGCTGTACCTATATTATGTCTATTATTGTTGGGTAATGAATTTGCTACTGAAGTCCAACTAAAAGGTTTACTATCAGACTTAAGTTGCATGCTGCTATATTAATGTGGGTTTTTTTTACTTTTTTCAAACACTTTTAGAAACTCTTTTAGGAGTTTTAATATTTCCACTTGCCCCACACATTAAGAAACATTTTGATTAAATGGCCATAGCAACTATAAAAACATTGCCGTGTTTAATGTAAAGTTGCTGGCCACATAAGCCAGTGCAAATATACCTGTGGGCCTATCAAAAGTTAAACTTTCACTAATTTTGGGAGCAATATCTGCCTTGTGTCTACTCCTGTCTTGAACTAATTTAAAAACTATGAAGATTGTCTGAAGAGTTGCATCATGTTTTTTGTGATCATACAAGAGCAACTTTTTAAAAGAAAATGCTGTTTACATTCTAATCACAGGGTCTAATATTCTTACATGTGTTCCCATGAGAGTTTAACTATGATGATTAGCAGCCTTATGTATTGGCTTCAGCATGCCATTAGTTAGAAATCTGTACAAGCTGACTACAAATCACCAGCAATATAGGGGCCTGCCAGGTACTTGAAAATCTCTGCTTCTGATCTCCGGCAAGCAGCCAAAACAGGAAGCCTTTAGTGAACTACCATATGTGGCTGGTAGGCTGTTTCTAAGGCAACTATTAGGGTGTTGGATGTTATGCTGGTTGGTATCTGTTAAATACTGGGCAAAGTTAGGGAGACATATAATCTTACTGTTTATTCAGTTGTTCTTTTAAGTTGGCCATTTGAAAGAGAGATGAACTTTAAATATGAGCCCAATTTAAGTATTATCTTAGGAGCCTGAAGAAGGCTGCAGCTGATCTCATGAGAACTCTGTAGATTCTCGTGAGAACACCAGTCATAACCCTACTTTTTCTCCATACCGTTATGGTAATATAGAGGATAATGTCAGAAGAGAAATTAAAGGATCCTACAAGGAAGCTATAAATCTCTGTAATTTACAGAAATATTGAGAATTGAGTTTGGAGATGTACTGTATGTATTTATTCCAGGGGTCTTCAAACTTGGCCCTTTTATGACTTGTGGACTTCAACTCCCAGAATTCCTCAGCCAGTGTGCCTGGCTGAGGAATTCTGGGAGTTGAAGTCCACAAGTCATAAAAGGGCCAAGTTTGAAGACCCCTGATTTATTCATTCAATTATTAATTCATTCAATTTGTATAGCTGCCCATCTCAAACCTTCTGGATGATGAAGTTCTTGGAACAGTAACTGAAGGAGGCAAAATTGTCATCTTTCAAACAGGTAAAGAACTGTTGTTCCTAAGATTAAACTGAATATTATTTTCATGTTCTGGAGATATATGTTTTGAAATCATCTACAGCACAGACTTCTGTTTTTCCTATACCCAGGGATTCAGAGTGCTCTAATGATATTGGCAGTCCCTTATTACTGCATTAACTATACCTTCTCTTAACATACATTCCAAATATGATTCTCCTCAATTATAGAAAAAAAGTAATAAATTAAATCACATAAGAAGGATCATATTGAAAAGTCCTGACTAGTCCAGCTCTCTCTTCTTACATGGCACAACTAGATATCATTGGGAATCTTATTTTTAAGGCATGAATCTCCCATGGCGCATCTTATGTTCCACAATAACTGGTGTTTTGAAGCGTACCATCTTTGATTCAGGAAACGATGTAAGGCCATCGTGTCTACTATTCATGGATAAAGAAATCATACGCCAAATATCTAAATCACTTGGCATAAAAATTGGAAGGGAGGGAAAATCATTATAGTAACAGCAGATTTAATTTATACTGAATCTCACAACATTCAACTTTATTGGATAATCCTGATTCTAATAACTGAAAGAAAAGCTTCTCCACAGTAGACATAATTTTATACATGTTTGTTTTCTCCCAAGCTACTTGTTTTTATCTAAGCTAAAAAGTCCCAGATGTAATGTTTCCTCACAAAGCAATTGCTCTAGCCCCTTGATAATTTTGTTGCCTTTCATGCATTTTCCAGTATGGTTTTTATGAGATGCTGTGACCAGAAACATACACAGATATCTGAGTGTGATCACATAATGAAGATAACTATTGTATGTATCTTTATAAAGATATTATAGTATCAGGAAATTAATTTATTTTTATTCCTTTCCTAATGATCCCTATTGTGGAGTAACACTTTTGTTGTTATTGTTTTTATAAGAACTGTACACGGTCTCAATGTTATCTTTAAGCTAACTATCACTATTTGTAAAATCCATTTTCTGAGTGTATCTGTGCCAGCTACACTCCATACAAATACTCATGAAATTAGGAATATAAAGTACATGATAATATACTTTTTGTTCTGAACTGCAATGACCATCTTAATGCCCAGTTATGCAGTTTGAAAAGAGCTCTATTAGAGCTCTTTGCAATCCGTTGTTTTAACCCCCTAAAATAATGAAATGTCATCAGCAAATTGGCCACTGGTTGCTCAGTCCTAATTTTAAACATTTATGAATGCATTTAAAAATACTGGCCCCAAAAACTAATCCTTGGGGAGAGAGCCGGATTATACAACTGATATGGTTTATTCCTACTTTTTTTGTGTTCTTTATTGTTACTAGCATGGCATATTACATATCAAATGAAATGTCTCGTTTTCCAGTGACATAGATACACCTTTAAAATTCTGTTTATTATCCATCTTATTTAAAGTACATGTTATTACATTAGCTAATTAGCTGGCATTCGTTTTTTTTGCATTGGAGGCTGCAAAGTGTTAAAATTATGTGAAATTTCCTTTCAAAAAATATTAGAAAAAACTAGAGAAAAAGGATTAACCTATTTTATAATTAAATAATACTTACTTAATCAGGACAACATTTAGGAAAAGTTCCTGGTATGACAATGATTTAAGATTTAGAGCCACAGTCTTTAATTGATTAATCAGCTTAAAAAAGCATAGGGCTTACTCTCAAAAACAATATTATCAGCACACAGTACAATTGTACCATAAGTAAATAAAGAAATCTATGATTAATTGGGTAACTTTTTTGGTAGTCAACTAATACAATTATAAAATGCCAATAGTAAACATCATATAAGAAAAAGCATTTCCCCCTAACAATTACAATAGGCTGTCTGATTTCTACTGAATCTGTCCAGTTTGGCATTGCCCATATGAACAACACTTTGCAGAATTTCAGAAATGGACGTTTCCCAGCCCAACCTGAGGATGTCCAAAAATGAACTGGGAACTTTTTGCACACAGAGCATGCACAATGTACCCCTTCATTTCACACACATGGAACGATTCCTCTAAAATGAATACCTACTGTACATATTCTAAAACAAAAAACGTACATTTTTCTTCAGAGGTTTTGTTTACTCCTAAGCAAATTTATGCAGATTTAATCTGATTGGATGGTTTTTCAGTGAATGGCATAATCAAAATATCATTTTACACATATTGTGTATTGTGTATGCATTTCTTGATGCACACATATACTCACACGTTTACTAATTAAACTACTCTTCAGTTAAAACACTCACTAGTCTTTTGCTGCATATTGGTATGGAATGGTCAGTTACTGTAAATGTACATATTCAGGTTGTCAAGTAAAAATTACCAGGTGCATAATGTGTAATGTGAACAAGGATAAGTGGTATGCCTGCAAAAACAAAAATCAAGCTTTTCTTTCTGTTTTGCTTCCTAAGGTTTTCAATGAATCTCTCAGAACTTTCAGTTTCTCCTTATTTAATGAACTGTGTAATAGAAGTGGCAGAAAAGAAAATGGATAAGGCATTTAAACAAATTCTCTAAAAATAATGCACAAATTTTGCTATTGCTTTTGTTATTATAGCTGCCTTTAGAAAATTTGGTGCCCATTTTTTTATTTCTCAAAATGTTTATTTTAGAATCTGTTAAAAATAATATTTTAAATAAAGGCCTCTATTTTAAGTGGCATCATCAGTGCTAATTTTTAAATCCAAATCCAAAAGAAAGTGCTAAAATTTTAAGATTGTTATCCGCGACACTATTTAATATTTCCTAATTCTCCAATGATATTTTTTTTCTTTTTAAAGGACAACAACAACAAAAACATAAAATGTTGGCTTCTTCACAAGAAATTACACACACTCAGCGTAAGATTCAACAAAGCAGCGGCCCTCTAAAATTATAATTTAAATTGATATGCATCTCCCCTTGTAATGCAAAGAATCTCAGGTTACTATTGGGGAAAACTAGAATGGGATACCCAACAAAATTTCAAAGGAAATCTAAAACAAAAAAAAGTATTAAAAAAGTACCTGCACATGCCAAAACATAAACAAAAAAACCCAATAAATACAGAAATTATTGCACAGTTAAAAGGCTTCACAATTTTTACTGCCTTAACCAATCCTCAGGTTTAATAGAACTTTGTAGACACAGATTATATTTAAGTGCCAAATTCTGGCACCTGCCATAGTTATACTAAGATATGTTTATGGAGGCAAGTTAGGTCAGCTTTTCTCAATTGGCAATAGTTAAACTGTACAACTTAAATGTTACCTAGACCCCTGCTTTTAACCCAGTTGGGGGAGGGGGGCTTAACTTCTTTCTGCCTGCTCAATTTTTACATCATTTGTCAGCAAGTGTTCGCCATGCCACTTTTTCATGTGTTTCTCCAGGGTGCTGTAAACACTGAAGGGCATCTGGCAAATGTCGCAGCGGTAGACCTCCTTCCCTATCTGGCCATGCGTTTTCATATGACGTGTCAGCTTACTGCTCTGGGCACATGCATAGTTGCAGAGCTCACATTTGTAAGGCCGCTCTCCTGTGTGGCTCCGGCGATGCACCGTTAAGTTACTGCAGTTCTTAAAGACCTTGCCACAGTATTCACACGTGTCACTCCGCCGTCCTTCCTTTGAACTGGGTCGACCAGGACCAGGTCCACTGATATGGGGGGTGCTGCCTCCGCTCGCCGTCCCACTGCGCCCTGAGAGACCACCATCCAGCATATCACCTGGTGGAGTAGAGAAACGCAGGCTTCCGTTCTCTGAGGAATGCTCAGATGATGTTGCAAAGGGGGATTGTCGGGAGTCTGTGAATCCTAGAAATGGATCCTTCATGAAGTGCCTTGATGCTGCGTATCCTACCAGCCACTGAGAGTAAACATTTTCAGAAGGTATTATTGTTGCTGGTGGCAAGTCCAAATCTTTTTCTATCTTTATTCTTTTGGAGGAGTTATTTAAATTGGGGCTTGTAATAGGGGTGGGCTTACGAGGGAATAGCCCTGGGAAGGGTTCACCTGGCCCAAAGTTTCTCCCATTCACTGTCCCTTCCTCAGTGCGGTCAAGTTCTCCAGCTACTGAGTCTTCATCACCTGTGTCTCTCTGGCAAAGGTCTCGAGGGCACAGATCTCGCTGATCTGAAGACCTTTTCATAAAGCCACCTCTTTTCTGCTTTTCAGCCAACATGTCACTGTATTGCTGGATAGTACCGAGGCTTACATTCTCTATCACTTTTCCTAGGACAAGGGATTTTTCATCTGGCAGCGATTTGGAACCATTCTCTCGGTTACGGCTTAGTTCTGAATCCATGCTAAAGCTTGACTCAGGTCGGCTTTCATTTTCCAGCTCCTCTTCCTCCTCCTCTTCCTCCTCCTCTTCTTCATTGTCATGGCCTAGAGAAGGATCACTCTCATTCCTGAAATCTGCCTCACTAGACTTTAGTCCCTCTCCAGTTAGTTCACTTGTGCCAGGCTCTGGGGAACTTGTAGCAGATAATCCATCATCAGACCTCCCTGTCATGGATCCAGCTTTGTGCATATGTGTTTTCATATGGCGTTTTAACTTGCTGGCTTGGGAACAAGCATGGTCACAGAGTTGGCATTTATAGGGCTTCTCTCCCGTGTGACTGCGCCGGTGGACAATGAGATTGCTCTGAAACTTGAAGGTTTTTCCACAAAATTCACAGGACTTACTCTTTGCCTGAGGCTGAGGAGGCGTAGTGCTGCTTGGAGGCATTGGTGGCAATGGAGGAGTGTTCAGAAAAGGAGATTTAGGGCTTGGCTGGAAAGGATTCAATAAGCGATGCATAGGGTTGCTGCGACTAGGCGAGACTGGTGGTGGGGTGGCATTGTTTCCTGCCAGTTCTCGAAGCCTTCTGGAGAAATCCATCGCTGGCGACTCAATTGCCATGGGGTTTAAACGCATGACTCTGTCAAAGGCACTAGGATGCTGGGCAACTAACCCCATTTCTTCGGCACTAAGGCGATGTGGATCCAGATGATGACGAGGTGGCGGGCTGAAGAGGGGAGGTGTATTAGGAAGCCGACCTTCACCAAAGCCAGGATGATCACGCAGGATGGGACCTGTCATTCGTAAGAGACTAAAAGGGTTATTGTCACCTAGGAAATTCATCAGCGGGGACTGTGCAACAGTCTCGGGTCCCAGAGGAGGAGGGATGGTGATGCGTGGAGTAAGGGAGCTGTTTGAAGGGCTAGTTTCCAAGTAGATGCGGAATCCATGTGTATTCTGGGCATGCTGAAGCAAGAACCAAGCGCTATTAAAAGGGTGCTTGCATGTTGTGCAAATATAGCTTGAAGGCTCATCTTTACCTGTTGAAAAAAAGAAGGGACAGAGAAAAAGAGAGAATAATTAGAAAAGTAACCTAGGGGACTGTAAATAAACTTTACCCCCCAACAGTTATAATGTAAATATATTTAATAAAGAAGGGGCATCTGTTCTTGTTTAACATAACCTGTACCTGCCTAAAATCCATATTGATCCTAAACCAGTAATCTTGGTCTTAACTTATAGCAGAAACGTTCTTTAAAGTTTTAATGCCAACTTAGAAGAAACCAACTTACATTTCTCCATATTCCAATTCAAGGTTCTACTCAATCACATTGAGCATCCAGCGAAAACTGAATGTTAGAATCATGTCTAAATCTGAAAAATTAATCTTGTGTTCAAATATTCCATCTTTCCTTTTATCAAAAGCTTTGAACATGTTTAAGCTACTATAATAATTGAATGGTAATAGCTTTTAGAACTGTATTTGAATTGTGTTTAATGTAACAATCATACCCATTATTTAATAGGAAAAGATTAGCAATTTATTTGCCTTTCTAAATATCCTTTTTCCTTGAAATATCTAGAAGAAAGGTTTGAAAGTTTCTAGGAAATTTTCTCAAAGGCAGCGTAGGCAACCTGTAACTCAACACTCATGATTTTACAAAGTATAAAATGGAATACTAGACACAAAGGGCAGGATTTGTTATCATTATCTAAAATGTGAATTCCTCCATTGTGAAGCTCTAATTCAGATAAATTCCTAGGTATTCCACCTTGATTTTTCAAAGCAGCTGTTTCATGCAGAAAAAAAATAACATTTTCTAATCTTGTTTTTTTTTTATTCCCAGCAACAATATGAGTGATGGATCAGGAGAATATCATGTTGATCTTCCTCCCTCCCGACTTATGCTAGAACACAATACATACATACCATAAAAAAGAAACATGGCAATATGATCAGACATACTAACTACTAATGGTACATAGGCCCTGACATTTAATTATTTTGATCATGGGTACTTGTCCTGAATATGACAAGACAGAATAAATGAATGTGAGCCAGTTTATGAATGAAACAGCAAACTGTCTTACTCTTGTATACAAGCTGGGAGGGAAGTAATCAGTAAGTAAACCAGACAATTTAAGCACACAGATGCTACTACCTCCCAAAGTGTTGGCTACATTAAGAATTAAAGTGTACTAAGAAATAACAAATGGGTGGAGGGATATTCATGCCTTGAGAATATAATACTCTCATTCCCCCTCCCCCCCAATTTTAATAGTGGGCAAATGGCCATAGAAACACTGGTATTTGCAAATGTATGCTAGAGCTTTGGAACAACATGAATATCAACTATAGCTTTCTAAAAGCAATTAAAATTGGTGTTATAGTCCAAAATGTAAGAAAGGCCTCTTAATCCTAGCAATTGAGGCATTTGACAGAGAGAAGGTGTTTTATGCCAATTCTGAGGTTGATTCAACAGTCAGTGCTCCTATTATTATTATTATTATTATTATTATTATTATTATTCAAAGTTAAATATTTCTTTTTTCAAACTAAATGTGGAAAAAAATCTAGACCATTAATGCTTCTTAAAAACACAATGGTAGCATAAAAAGTGATAGAAATCACAGAGGTATGTTAAAATTTATAGTATATTCTGTCAAAAAGCTATTTGAACAATACATTTTGCCTCAGCTTACCCATGAATGGACTTTAACACATCCTTCTTTTGAAATGTGATCTAACAGCAAATCAAGTACACAATCTTATAAAGCCATACGGCTTCAAAAGAATGAATGTTCCACTTCCTTAAACTGATTTTATACAACTAATTATTTTTTATTTATCAATATTAATTTATACCACTTCCTATGCAAATATGACTTGAAGCAATTTACAAATAAAAATTATACAATAAACTAAAGCACTGTAAAATCATCTTAATTAAAATTGAGGTGTGGGTAGAGAAAAGGAAAGCAGAAGCCCTGAATGAAAAGATACTCTTCAACTGGCACCTAGAAATATTGGTTGAATATTCATGGCCAACTGAGTCTTCCATTTTTAAAATCACCAAAAGAATTTGCTATCAGCTACAAGGGATGTTCCTGAAAGATAGCTGTCATAATTAAAAGACAGACTAAGGCCAATCCAATAAAAATAGTTTCAAAATGGCGATTGCCTAGCCTAACCGTAAACAAAGGACACCGACTTTCTAAAAAAAAATTTGGTACATAAATGACATGTAATTTTTAAGTGTAAAACTTTCCGTTCTCTTTTAATTAGATGAAGTGAAGACGAAGGACGAAGGGAAAGTTTGGGGTGAATAATTACACACAGGGACTGTATTTCTATAACCATATTTTTAGATTAAAACTATTTTTTTTTAGGCCTTCTTTCTCTTCATATCTATGGCCCTAAATGTTTTTTGTTCAGCAGCCCCTGTTCACAATGCTATGAGACTGACTAAAACTCCCCAACTACCAAGGTTCTGACAAGATTCATTTCTGGGGGGTTTTTTCCTTCTTTTTTTGCCTGCTTCACTTTTCACAACCCTCAAATGTTCTCCTTAGATTTCCCTTTTATTTTATATGAAGTTCTATTTTAAATAAATAAATAAATGAATGAATAAATAAAATGTTCATTTCCATATTATCACTTCATAGTTATCATGCCTCAAAATCGCCCTAAGCGGTGTAAATGCTCACTTTTAAGAACAGAACAACGTCAAAAAGACTTTGAAGATCCACTCCGAATATTTTTATATGCTAAAACTTGCCAAGTAGTTTTAAAATACTCAGATGGTCAGATAGCGCTGTAAAGTGATTGCTATAGTTGATGCACATTGCCTGCTTTGGAAAAAATGTGCCGTAAGGTTAGTTTCACTGTGTATCTAAGTTGTCTTAGCTTGGCTTTGCATATTATACATAAGTGGGGAAAAGACATTTGAGTCAATTACACTCTTTATTGTTACTAAGGGTGAAATAAATGTTATGGTGTGGAGAGCAATGTTCTAGTCAGTTGGTCTTAAAGGGGTATTCCATTCTTTTCCTTCATTTATCTATTTTCCTAACCTTTCACACTTTTAAGCATTCTGAGTCCACTGAATATGATCAATATTGCTAACCCTAAGGTGCTCATTTCTCCACACTTTGGTGTTCCTGGATGACTGATACTTTCCTCTTGTATACCAATGGTACTCTACTACATAAGATTCTATATTGTGAGCAGAAGTGTGCTACCTGAATACAGGATATTTCCTGTCCCCAGTATAGAGTGCTCAACTTCTGGCATATGGCCATGAGAAAAATGCAGTTCTCCAACATGTAAAGTTGAATAAAATTCAATTTATATTTCTTTCTGCTTCCTTGCTTTGTTCAAGCTTATTTCTTTTTTTATTGCTTTTACAATAAATCTGTTTAAATAATGAAGAACATCATTATAATTCACAAAGAGTAATTCCTTTGTAATTTCCATCTGCATTCAGACTGTGAAAACTGCAGTTCTCCTCCTACAAGTAGACAGATACACTATAATAATACCACAGTAACTTTATATCTATGGAGATTCGCAGTCATCCAGGTCATAGTTGTCCCAAAGATGCTTTTTCACAAGGCAACTGGACTTTCTTGTTTTTCTTTAAAGACATTTCGCTTCTCATCCAAGAAGCTTCTTCAGCTCTGACTTCTCTTCCATTCCCCACCATCCAGTCAGAACTGAAGAAGCTTTTTGGATGAGAAGCAAAATATCTTCAAAGAAAAACAAGAAAATCCAGTTGCCTTGTGAAAAAGCATCTTTGGTACCGTAACTCTAGTAAAACAATAATGCTTGTATTTTGGAACGCATAATAAAGTACATCTACAAGTGACCACAAAGTAACACAATCATATATGAAGTGCTATGCAGGACTGATATTACAAATCCTAAGCTTACTGTTGATGTTATTTTGATTCAGAATTTGGTTACAATAGCAAGTAGGGCTAAATAGGAGCAGCATGATGTCTATTATCTCGTATTTAATCAGCAACACTTCTGAAGGCCATTTTCAAGAAGAGTTAGAGTTCCAATATAATTCTACAAAATGAGTTACTAAAAAAATACAAGTGGAAGGTTAGATTAAACCCTCTGGAGGATGGATCAGACATATTGGATGTGCTTATCAATTTGATTCCATCAATAGCAATGGATACTTTTTTAAAAAAAAAAATTCTAAAAATCAAATTCATCATATTTTAAGATTTTTTGCTTCTATAATTCAGATTTCTATAGAATTAGAATTTTGATTTATTGATCAAAATATCTGATGATGTATATTTGACCAATGTGTATCGTTTTCAGGATTTTTTTGTCCTGTAAATTAATTAACGAATCCAACTATTACAGTGTGGTTAAGTTTTCTATACCAGAACACGATAATACTATGGGAAAACTTATTTTGAACAATTTTAAATATAGTGAATAAAGAAGGTCTTCGAATTCCACCGGATATGTTATCAAAGAGGAGGTTAAAAAAGGAAGTTGTTAGGATAATCTATTTAAGGATTAAAAGAGAATAAGCTTACATGGCAGAGTCTGATCTTGAACTGGGGACCCCTTAACGACTACACCATACTTGTTATCATAAGCTAATTATCTCAGATGCATTAGTTTTACAGATGGTCATATTATTTTGAATTACATACTAGTAGTATTAAAACAAAAGGACAAAGGAAATGGTTATTGTGTGCACTTAGCTTTGAAAAAAGTCATCTGTCCTCCATCAATTACCTTAAAAATTTACCTCTCTTCTCATTTTTAAACAAGCATTCTATTACCAGCAGTGTCAATGGTAAGATTATTTACCAACTAGATAAATTATTCTATATATTTGATTTTTCATTATTTTTATTTCTATTATGCAAACTTACTTAAATGTAAACAAATTAACTGTACAATATATGAACATATGTGCTATGTTAACAGAATAATATGACTATTCATGTAATTTTCCTTGCAAGGATAATAAAATTAATTTTAAAATGCAATAATTTCTTCAGTTAGCCCATATCAACTCCTTATTCGAAAGCATTTTTACACACAATTCACTTTTGGTATGTAAGTATCATCAATGATTTGCTACAACACCACTTAGACTTCTAACAAATGTATCTCATTAGATTAAATAATGATTCTTGAGTATCCCATAGCTTAAACCTATACAAGTAATTAGTTTGTACATTTGCTGAACCCACCTGTCTATTTTGAAATATATATTTTTTTCTGAAAATAATTGTTCTCTTCCTTATTCTGTGATGGCTGGCAT